GGGTGCATCGATCCGCAAAGTTGAACCCAGCCTTACCACAAAACTTAATATTTATAAGTTTATATATATGATGCTTTTAATTCGGTCAATTCGTGCTTGAGGCAGCCCTGCATAGAAACATAATTTCAACTTTTGCGTTTTTTTGTCCGTACATTCGTCCATGCATGCATACGCATTAAAATTATTTATCCCTTAAAATTGATTAAGTGTTGCTCGTTACAACACAAGTGATGGAGGTTGAAAATTGCCTTTGTTTCCTTTTCGCTTATGAAATGAACATTGCACGCATCAATATGGAGCAATTTTCTTTTCCTATTATACTCAGGACACCAATTCAGTTAAATGAAAATATCATGTTCGCCTTTTCCCTTTTGCTATTACTTATGGAAACAATGTTCGTTTTACTTAAATATATAAAAAAAAAAAAAAACAAAAAAAAAAAACAATAGATACAAATAGTGGATGTAAATGCATCCATAAAATGTCTTTTCAATCTGACTTATGAAAGTCGCGCATATTTTAAGCGATTTTATGAAATTTGGATTTTTTTGCAAGAATTTTATCAAAATATAGAAAAACTTAACGTCCTGTATATGAGATGACTAAACTCGATTAGCCCAAATCTCAATTACAACTTGCTCAACAAGTTTTGTACGAGAAAAATTTTTATTTAAATTTTTTGCCTTCTTTTCTTCAGACGCGCGAAAACTCCCTTCCCTTGGACTCATGTCAAAAACGCTCTATCAATTATAATGTAGTTAGTTATTCGGCGCCAAGGCATTGGATTCACATGCACGTTTGAGGCAATATAAGGAAATAAAAGATGTATCTCTCTAGCTTAGAGAGCCATCGATAGTTGACAATGCTGGAATGTACTGTTTGGAAAACTTTGGAGAAGTGCGACTCGGGGCTTTTATAAGCTAGAACGAGAGGACTTAGCTAAGTTTGTTTATTTATTTGGTACGAAAAAAAGTTAATATTAATAAAGGGAAAAGTTACAGTTTCAAATGCTGATCTGACCTATAAATAAGTAAGGAATTTACTTTTTTTTTTACTTTCAAGAGCAAAGATTTTTCTAGCTTGCTTTGCATTGCATGTGCCGCCCTCGATCAATTTTCAGCGGCGTGTTAAGGATTCCCAATTGGTTTGTTAAATTTGAAGCTAATATCGTAATTTTGATATCTTCAGAAAGTTTATCGCAGTCGTTCACATACATTGATCGATTCAAGATTTCATGCTGATCTAGTTTATAGGGTCTTAGAAACTTTTCATTGCGCGTTGCAAAGATCCTAACAAATTGAATATACCCTCATCATTTGTTGGTAGTACGATAAGCGCTGCATACCTTTATAAGTATAGGATCTTCAGATACCTTTAGACTCAAGAAAAGAAGAAAAAACGTAAAAGGAATACAGCCAGCAGAGTATTAAATACATAATAGTGTGCACAAGATCTTAATAGGTAAAGTTTCTTATACAAATTACTTTCATAGTGAGACGCATGAGTCATTCGCATACGGATCTCTATTTACAGACGCGAGACAACATTAAAAGGAAAGTTTGGGTTCATCTTAAGAAGGAAATACGCTTGCTTGTCTTTTCTTTTTTAATCTCCTCTCTTAATAAAGTATTAAAGCTGTTAAACAATACGATCGCGCCGGACAAGAGAAAATTTCAATGAGTATACGAACTTGTATATAATAATTGCAGAGTTTGCTGAAGCTAATGTAAATGTTCTTTACTCCTTACGCAGAGAGTCTCTTAACATGTTTATCAAATTATGAATCAAATGCTTGTCGATCGCGTCTGATAAACAGTGAGTTTTACTCATAATGAAGGCAACCTTGGGTCCCGATCACGTCAAGGCAATATCTTAAGTGTTTTGTTAGTTGTTCGAGCCGGTTAGTTTTTGTATTGAAGCTTGGGATGTGACTCTAACAAATATTATATATTTAATCCATATTTGCCTGTAGAAAGTTATTCACGAATAGGTAAACATTGTAACGCATTTTTTTAATAGCGATCGTGTAGAATATCGTCCATATTCACGGTTCATTTATGGCCAACAAATAAAGCCTACGGCCTCGATGAACACCTTCGTTCTAGCTTCGGTTTTAAATAACATAGAATGTGTCGCGGGTAGGCGACTATAAGGTACAAGATTCAATTTGCATCTTCGGTTCAGTTTTGTTTAGATAATTGTTTTTGGCTCTTTAGTGGACCTTTTGTCGTTAACTCATCGCATGCCGTATCGCATGTTATGCAGACTTTTATGTCGAAAAATTCGTTGTCGTATCGTTTCTCGCTTTCGCTGGATTCTTGTTAAGTGTCTTGTATTATACTTGATAGAGTTTTGTTGGGAAACTCGTGTTTCCAGTGGAATTTGTTCCCGTATCTAAATTTCCTGCAATGCTGGCCAATGCTGGCTCGTCGATAAGTTTAAATAAAACTTGTTTCCTTACAGGTGGACAGAAGTAGGACACTTTTCACTTTTGAGTCTCAAAATTTGTGGTCAAGAGTTTCACTAAAAGACGAAAGCGAATTGACCGACGGGCATAGCTAAAATGAATGGAAATCCTATGTAATTACATCTGTACGATTGCGTGCGATTGTTGTTGTGTAGCAAACCCTGTCTTGAAAACGAAAATTGCTCATCTCTGGTCTATATAATGTTAATACTTTTTTATCTCTCTTCACAAATTTGCAAATTGGTCGGTCGCGGCAGATTTCTTAAAGAAAGACGAACCGATCACATAAAATGCGGAAAGTGGGCCATCTCTAATCTATACAATATTTCGATTTTCTGTTAAAATTTTTTGTGTTAAAATTTTACGTTGCACTTGATGGCTAAGTGGTTTATATATACTATACTCAATCGAGGATATGTGCTTAAGTCTAAATGTTTTGCAGACTGATTACGGAAGCGAGTATCCACTGATTATTTGGTGGTAGATGTAATAAAAATTTTATCCCATTACGTTCTCTTATGTCAAAGTCAATTGAATGGCTGAAGCGTATTTATAATTTTTAACTTTTGCTTTGACTTAACTAATAACTTATCTAGATGAGTTTTGTTATCGCTGTTATAAAAAAGTCCGAAGTAACGTACGATTAGGATCGATGTTTTCTTATCTTTAAAAAACCAAAAAAAAAAAAAAACCAAAAAAAAAAAAACATTAGATGATGATGATGATGTTGTGATGAATATAACTGACTATATGAATGCATGTAACCATAGTTTTTTGATCAGAGTTTTCTTCCTAGCATGAATGTATTTTGCAAATTGAAAAAAAAAAAAAAAAAAAATTATAAATTATTAGTTTGTTTTTTTTTTCTTTGGAATTTTATATTTTTTAATAGGTTTTATATATGTTTGTTGGTTTGTGTTTATTTAATTTAGTTTTAATGATGCTTTTGTTACTCTCGTTTGTGTGTTGCTTTTTTTTTTTTTTTTATTATTCTTTTGTACTTTTGGCAATGATCTTTTTTATTTTGTTTGTCTAACAGTAAATATTTTTCTTTATTTTAGGTTACAACTGAATACGAAATCACTCCTGTTGTCTTCTTTATTTTATGAATATTTTTGTGTTTTTAATTTGA